TCTCAACTGGAAATTTATTCATGTATAATATGCCAAATGCAAAGCCACCGTAATTTGGATAAAATAACAACAATATGAACACGTAGTTTTCATCTCTACGCCAAGAATCTGACTAAAAATGAACTCCTATGAATAAAGAAAATAAATAAATATATAAATAATTTATTTTGTACCGGCGGTAACCATTTTCTTCCTTAAATCGAGAATGTGAGTCCGGTAATAGATTCGAACCAGTCGATAAAGGCGGCAACTCGTACTTGACCATCGGGACTTTGATCCTTACAATCAGTGGACGCTCCGAAGCTGATGACTCCCACCTGGAATGCTTTCCCGTTTTCTATCCGCATCACCGGTCCGCCGGAGTCGCCCTGATAAAAGGAAAAGAGTGAAATACGTTTGGATTTTTAACTGGGTGTTGCAATGATGGGTTTTAAGACATACAGTGTGTAACACACACACACACATACATACACATACACACATACACACACACACACATACACACACACGCAGACGCATCCATGCACGTACACACACATATGTATATGTATATATACATATATATATATATATATATATATATATATATATATATATATAAACATAAATATATACATACATATACAAACAGTTTTCATACGTCTCCCGTTTTAATACCCCCCAAAAAATATACATGATTCCTTCTCACCAAATCTAAGATAACTGTTCTGAGAGAATATCGAGGCAATTGCAAAATACCGGAGATGGTGGACAGTGCAACCGGAATGACCCCCAAGCCTAGGACCTGTCTTTGAGGGAAGGTCACCACGCCGTTGTTCAGGAGGGGAATGCTATGAAAGGGGGGGAGGGGGTGCGAAATTCCCTGCTTGGCTCGGCTATGTTAGATTAGGTTGCATAGCGTTGTTTACGTATATCATTTTTTTAGATTTTATCTGTTTTTATTTATAAGCTTATTTTTTTTGTTTTTTATTAATTCATTTACTTTTATTTGTTATCCATTCATTTATTATTTATCTATTTTCATTATTTTTTGTTATGTGTGTGTGTGTGTGCGTGCATGCGTGTAAAGCAACTGAGGCTGATTGCTTTTGTCATAAAGAAAACTTTTCCGGCTTCGTTACTCCAGTGAATCTGTAAAATACTCTTTTTATATGTATACAAAAAAACATATCTATATAACATATACAATATATACATAAAACGTAAATATATATGACCGAGAAGTACAGAGCCTCAGACTTAAGGACTGTCATGGCAATCTGAGTTCGAGAGTCACCAGCCGGCGATTGCCTCAGGGAACCCCCGGCCACTGAGAGCAAATGCAGCTCAGCGCTTGACCCAAAGCCGGATAAGGGAGAGGGCTGCGGGCAGGATGGCATTCGGCGTAAAATAACCGGATTATTCCTGTTAGTTTTGGTTACCCTTGTGGGTAAAATCCGGAAAAGAAATACAAATATATTATATAATATATATATTTATATACATATCTATCTATCTATCTATCTACACACACACACACACACACACACACGCACACACACACACACACACACACACACACACACATATATATATATATATATATATATATATATATATATATATATATATATATATACATACATATATATACACGATTCTTGCAGCAAAGGGAGGGAGTGAGAAAAGGAAAGAGGGAGGGAGGCATTTTGGGATGGAGGGAGAGGGAGAGGGAGAAAGAGAAAGAGATAGATAGAGAGAGACTTTTACGGATATAAACGGTCATTAATCATTAATTAGTGAAGAAATAATCCTCAGCAACAATTCATTACGTCTAACCTGATCAATAAAAACCGTTTCTTTTCCTAATTACATAAATCATGGAACGATTATTCATAATGTCCACAATATATTCAACAGCTGATTCTCTGGACAGTATTTTTAATCGGCAGGAATTAATTATTGGACTAAAAATCAGGCCATTAATACGAAGTCACGCGTCTGGAGTCAGACACCTTTAAGTAACTATAAGAATTTATCTTCATCTTTATTTTACTGATATTCCACGAGTATCTATAGTCTCTCTCTCTCTCTTTCTCTCTCTGAAAATACCCCAATTAGAAGGGAGAAGGAGATAAATAGATAGATAGAGATAGATAGAGAGGCAGAAAGAGAGAGAGAGAGGGGCAGAAAGAGAGAGAGAGAGAGAGAGAGAGAGAGAGAGAGAGAGAGAGAGAGAGAGAGAGAGAGAGAGAGAGAGAGAGAGAGAGAGAGAGAGAGAGAGAAGGGAGCAGAAGTAGGTATCTTAACCATACAAAACTTGCAAAATAAACACAAAATAAATAACCATACAAAGAGAGTACAATAAAAACTACAAGTCACAGTACAAATACGCTTCTTTGCCGTTCCGTTAGTTGTAACAAAATAACCCTCTGCCACACACACACACTCACACACACACACACACACACACACACACACACACACACACACACACACACACACACACACACACACACACACACACACCCTCCCACCCTACATTCCTACATACCCCCCACCTTCGCACATACCCCCCACACCCCACACTCCCACACACCCCCCCACCCTCCCACACCCCCACACCCTCCCACACCCACACTCACAGCACACGTATGTTTCCTCTGCGTCCCGTCTGTGCACATCTGCGTCGGCCTCATCCACGTTCCGTAGAAATTAACGCAGTCAGGAAAACTATAACCCACGGTATTGTATTCTCTTAAGTAGGTTGAGAGTCCGCCTGTGGGTTAAAAAAAAAAAAGTGGGCGTGTCATGCCGGGTGGGGCGTGGAAATGGGCGTGTAAGGTTCTGTGTATTTTAGTTATTAAGCTTTGTTTTTTTATATATATTTTTGATATTTGATACTTACTTTGACAGATGAATTTAACTTTGGTCATCTTCAAATACATGAATATTTACTTCATAGATTTGAAGTAAAGATACTCGATAAAACCAAACTTTTTTTTTGATAAACCAAGAAAGCTATAGAGAAGGAAACTCGAATGACGTTAACCATATTTATTTTCTTCAAAATATGAACCAATAAGCCTTTGTATCTATAAGAGCAATAAGAATAATAACTTCTGACCTCACCTGACTCGGTTTTGCCCCAGCCTGACAGAGTGACCTCTTTGCCGGCCATGTCATCGGTGACCCAAGCTCGGGGTGCCAGACAGACTGGCTTGACCGTCGCCGAAAAGGTCAAGGGAGAAGCTAACCTGGGGGGGGGGAGAGAAAAAAAGAGGGAGAGAGAGAGAGATAGATAGATATAGATAGAGAGATGGAGGGTGGGAGGGAGGGAGGGAGGAAGGGACGGAGGGGAAGGAGAGGGCGAGTGAGAGGGAGAAAGAAAGTGAGAGAGAGAAATATTAAATATAGGCATTTCGGTATTTTCATTTTCAATAATATACAAATAGTTTAGCTTCGTTGATAATTTCATTTTAGCGTAAATAATAATTTGATGATTAATGAATAGTATAGTTTCTAAGTAGGCCTATACTTTATTGAAAATCAATTGCCCCAAAACACAAATATTCTTTAAACAAGTATATTTAACCGAACATCAATACCGTTCGTGAAATGACAAGTTAGTGAATCGATTTATCACCTAGAAACTTATTTCAGTGATAGCAATTCTGAAAAAAATAAAATAAAACGAAACACTTACACATGAAGGATGATAAAGCACACAGAAAAAAAAAGTATCACAAAACATTGTTACAGTCACTGGTTACTGAAAAATTTGTGGATCCAATATTTCCGTTTTTTAGCTTTGTTTCTGTTTAACAAACTGTTGTACACGTTTTGGGTGATACTTTATATATATATATGTGTGTGTGTGTGTGTGTGTGTGTGTGTGTGTGTGTGTGTGAATATTGATACATGCAAAGCGAGCGAGCGAGCGAGAGAGAGAAAGAGAGAGAGGGAGAGAGAGAGAGAGAGAGAGAGAGAGAGAGAGAGAGAGAGAGAGAGAGAGAGAGAGAGAGAGAGAGAGAGAGAGAGAGAGAGAAAGAGAGAGAGAGACAGGCAGAAAGAGAGAGAGAGACAGGCAGAAAGAGAGAGAGCATAGATCACAAAGGAGAAAAAAAAAAAAAAAAAAAAAAAAAAACACGAAAAGAGAATCCCCCAGGAAAACCGAAAGCAAAAAAAAAAAAAAAAAAAAAAAAGAAAAAAAATGAACCTTACATCAACCCAATACTCCAAAGAACCTTACTTCAACAAGGCGATATCATAAGGCAACCGATATTGTGGATGCATGTGGATATTATTAACATCCACATCCACATTGAAACCGCCGTGATCACCGGGCCTGGCGTAGAGATGGGCGCCGACGGTTACAGTGATGCGACTGGGTAGATAGAGGCCGGTTTGGGCGTTGTTCAGTCTGTGGTTGGAAGAAGGAATAAGATACATGATATAAGTATTGATGAAGAGAAGGACGGATGGATGAGAGGAAGAGGGAAAAAGATAATAAGTATTAATGCATAGAAGGATGAATGAGTGAGAGGAAGAGGGAAGGATGAATGGATGAGATGAAGATGGAATAAGATAAAAAGTATTAATGCAGAGAAGGATGAATGAGTGAGAGGAAGAGGGAAGGATGAATGGATGAGATGAAGAGGGAAAAAGATGATAAATATTAATGCAGGGAAGGATGAATGGGTGAGAGAAAGAGGGAATAAGATAATAAATGTTAATGCAGAGAAGGATGAATGGGTGAGAGGAAGAGGGAATAAGATAATAAGTATTAATGCAGAAAAGGATAAATGGATGAGACGAAGAGGGAATAAGATAATAAATATTAATGCAGAGAAAAATGAATGGATGAGATGAAGAGGGAAAAAGATAATAAGCATTGATGAAGAGATGGATGAATGGGTAAGAGAAAGAGGGAATAAGATAATAAGTATTAATGCAGCGAAGGATGAATGGATGAGATGAAGAATTAATAATGTAGAGAAGGAATAAAGCAGAGGATGAATGGATGAATAAGGAAGGAAAATTAATAATGCAAAGAAGAAAGAGTAGATGAGAGAAATAAGGAAGAGGAAGGAAAATGGATGATTTAGAGAAAGATGAATGAGTGAGAGGAAGAAGGAAGAGGGAGTAATAATGCAGAGACGGATGGGAGGATGAGAGGAAGAAGGAAGAGGAAGGAGAATCAATGACATAGAGGAGATGAGAATGTATGAGAGGAATAAAGGAGAATTAATAATGTAGATAAGGAAGGATAGATGAGAGGAAGAAGGAAGAAGGAGAAATAATGCAGAGAAGGATGGAAGGAGGAGAAGAAGAAGGAAGGAGAATGTAGAGGAGGATGAATGGATGAGGATTATTATCACTTTTATCATTTTTCTTTTTTCTATCTTCTTCCTTTACTTTTCATTCTTGTGTTTCTTTTGCCATTAACCTCCTTTTCTTTTCTTTTCTTTTTACCTTTCCTATTTTTCTTTCATCTTTTCTTTTTTCTTTTCTTTTTTTGTCTTTTTTCTTTCACCCTCTTTTTTTCTCAATCCCTTTTCCTTTCCACTATACCCCTTTCTTTCTCTCCTCTTTATCCTCCACCGTTTCTTTCTTTTTTTTACTTTCGTCTTTACCATCTTTTTCCTCACTCTCTTAACAAAAACTCACCTGAACGGACAGCTCTATCGTCTTCCTTTTCTTTTCTGTCTTGTATTTCTTTTCTTTTCTTTTATCTTTCCTATTTTTCTTTTTTTTTCTTTGACCCTCGTTTTTCTCCTCAATCCATTTTCCTTTTCACTATACCACTTCCTTTCTCTCCTTTCTATCCTCCACTTTTTTTTCTTCTTCTTCTTTTTTTTTTTTTTCTTTCTTTTTTTTTTCTTCTCTTTTTCTTTTTTTTCTTCTTTCTTTTTGTCTTTTTTTTCTTCTTTTATCTTCTTTCTTTTTTTTTCCTTTTTCCTTTTTCCTTTATTTTTTTTTTATTTTTTTTTTTTACCTTCGTCTTTACCATAATTCCCCCCCCCCCACTCTCTCAACCAAAACTCACCTGTACGGACAATGCGCAGCCGTAAGAATCCATTGTTCATGAATGATTGTTCCACCGCACCTCCTCGTCGCCCCGTTGCTCCAGGACAGTGTCAACCAGACCTGAGGATTGGCGTGGTGTAGAAGAGGATGGGGAGGAAGAAAGGGTGAACAAAGGGAGGGAGGAAGAGGAGGATGGGGAGGATGGGGAGGAAGAAAGGGAGGAAGAAAGGGAGGAAGGAGGGAGGAGAGGAGGATGGGGAGGAAGAAAAGGTGAAGAAAGGGAGGAAGGAGGGAGGATGGGGAGGATGGGGAGGAAGAAAGGGAGGAAGGAGGGAGGAGAGGAGGATGGGGAGGATGGGGAGGAAGAAAGGGAGGTAGGAGGGAGGATGGGGAGGATGGGGAGGAAGAAAGGGAGGAAGGAGGGAGGAAGGAGGGAGGAGAGGAGGATGGGGAGGATGGGGAGGAAGAAAGGGAGGAAGGAGGGAGGAGAGGAGGATGGGGAGGAAGAAAGGGTGAAGAAAGGGAGGAAGGAGGGAGGATGGGGAGGATGGGGAGGAAGAAAGGGAGGAAGGAGGGAGGAGAGGAGGATGGGGAGGAAGAAAGGGAGGAAGGAGGGAGGAGAGGAGGATGGGGAGGATGGGGAGGAAGAAAGGGAGGTAGGAGGGAGGATGGGGAGGATGGGGAGGAAGAAAGGGAGGAAGGAGGGAGGAGAGGAGGATGGGGAGGATGGGGAGGAAGAAAGGGAGGTAGGGTAGGAGGGAGGATGGGGAGGATGGGGAGGAAGAAAGGGAGGAAGGAGGGAGGAGAGGAGGATGGGGAGGATGGGGAGGAAGAAAGGGAGGTAGGAGGGAGGATGGGGAGGATGGGGAGGAAGAAAGGGAGGAAGGAGGGAGGAGAGGAGGATGGGGAGGAAGAAAGGGAGGAAGGAGGGAGGAAGGAGGGAGGAGAGGAGGATGGGGAGGATGGGGAGGAAGAAAGGGAGGAAGGAGGAAGAAAGGGAGGTAGGAGGGAGGATGGGGAGGAAGAAAGGGAGGAAGGAGGGAGGAGAGGAGGATGGGGAGGATGGGGAGAAAGAAAGGGAGGAAGGAGGAAGGAGGGAGGAGAGGAGGATGGGGAGGATGGGGAGGAAGAAAGGGTGAAGAAAGGGAGGAAGAGGAGGGAGGAGAGGATGGAGAGGAAGAAAGGGTGAAGAAGAGGAGGAGGAGGAGGAAGAGGAAGAGGATGGGGAGAGGAGAGGATGGGGAGGATGGGAAGGAAGAGGAAAGGGAGGAAGAGGAGAGGAAGAGGAGGATGGGGAGGAAAGGGAGGAGGGAGGAGAGGAAGGGGAGAGAATGAAGAGGATGGAGAGGAAGGGGAGGAAGAGGAGGAGGAGAGGAGAGGATGGAGAAGAGGAAGGGGAGGAAGAGTAAAAGGAGGAAGGAGAGAAAGAGGATGGAGAGGAAGAAAGGGAGGAAGAGGAGAGGATGAAGAAGAGGAAGGAGAGGATGGAGA